CAGAAAAATTCTTGACAGTGGTTTTTACTCAATCCCATGGGATAGCTCTTACCAGAGCAAGATTTGAGCAGTTAGATTCTATGGTCAAATACGGACGATTCCACCAAGTGTCATATCCTGAGACAATATGCATTTGTGGAGCATCAGAAATAGAAGACATTGCACATGTCCTGTTCAACTGTCAATTATAGGCCTCGATAAGGGCCCAGTACTTGCAGACACTGCTTGACAGAACCATATATTGGGACTCTAATAAAAGATTATCTTATTTCCTTCAGGGCATGAACAAATATGTAGGCACTAGAACTGTCAAATTTATAGTCAAGGCTGTCCAAAAGAGAACACATTTTATGGAACATGTTGGGGTTGCATGCAAAGGTGATGAATTCACCTAAATACATACTGCTTTCAAATTTTAATATTCATTTTTATATATCTCTGCAATCTATTTTATCTTATCCTATTTTATCCTTACTCTTATCTACTAGATTTATCTATTGTATCTCACTGTAGTCTATTTTATCCTATTTTACTGTATTTCACTTCACTCCATGTTATTGTGTCTCACTCTGGCTAATGCCTATGTTTTGATATTGTCAAATGACTAATCAATAAAGTATACTACTACTACTACATTACAGCCTTTAAGGCAGTAGTTCCTAAACAGGGGTACAGGTAGTCCTCAACTTATTACAATGGGGACCAGAAAATTCATTGTTAAGTGGTGTGGTCATTAAGCGAGGCATCATGTGACTGCACCCAATTTTACAACATTTTTTGTGGTGGTTGTTAAGCAAATCCTGCAGTCAGTAAGTGAATCATGCGGTTCCCCATTGTTTTTGCTATCAGAAGCCAGCTGGAAAGGTTGCAAATGGTGATCACATGACCCCAGGACACTGCAACCATTGTAAATACATGCTGGTTGCCAAGTGCTCAAATTCTGATCATGTGACCATGGGAAAGCTGTGACAGTCATAAGTGCAAGGACTGGTCGTAAATCACTTTTTCCAGCACCGTCATAACTTTGAACAGTCACTAAATGAATGGTTGTAAGTCGAGGACTAGCTGTAATTACCTCCAAGGGGGTAATCTGGGCATATCCTAGGGGTAATGGAGCAGTTTGTAATTGCTTGTTTGTGAGTCAAAGATCCAGTTTGGAACTGCTATTGCTGAGATGGTTCTACAAAAGTCTGTTGTTGTTTTTTTGTGGGGGTAATGATAATCATGACTGGGAAAAGGGGTAATTGGATCAAACAGAACCACTACTTTAAGGTATTTGAATATTGCTGTCATTTCCCCCTTCCCCATCATACTGAGAAGCAGGACCATCATCCTTAGCCTCTCCCTCTAGAACTTCTCTTTCAGTTTCCTTGAATCTTTCTTGAAATATTGTGTCCAGAACTGATTACAGTATTTAAGACAGA